GGGGGAGGTCACGGCCCCTCAGCCAGCATCACAGCCTCCCACACCCCTCCACACCCACATGCCCGGGTGTCACTCACACACTCGGGCTCCAGCCCAGGCCCCCACCCCCAGCCTGTGCAGGCACATGGGGGGCGCACATGCACACAGGGACATAGACACACAGACACACACAGGGACGCACACACTCGCTCCTAGCCCCCAGGACGCCGCTTTTTCATTATCTTACATGTCGCTTCTGCAATAAAATTCTTTAATTAAAACATGAATATTTAAAACAACCCTTGAGAGAAATGGCCCCATCTCACCAGAGGCAGAAAGATGCAGAGAGAGACTATGGGAGAGAGTGGAGAGACGAGAGACGGCACTGAGAGCCGGGTGGGAGCAGGCCGGGCGGCGCAGAGGGCGGCGGGCGGGCGGCAGGGCGGAGAGGGAACAGTTGCTCTGGCCTGAGGAAGGCTGGCTGAGTGGACTCGTGACGTGGCCATGTGGCGTTTGGACAGGCCGGGCGGGGGGGCAGGGCTGAAAATGGGCCACAGGCTCGCCTGGGCTGCCTGCTCGCTCTCTGGCTCAACCGCAAACAGCCTTCTTGGGGTGGAGATGGAGGGAGGCACCGGTCCAGCCTCCCTGGCCAGCATGAGAGGAGGAAGCTCCCTGGACACAGGGCTCAGCAGGAAGATCTGGGGGCTCAGCTGTGTGTCTTCTGAATGATTGCTGGACCTCTCTGGTCTGTGCACCACCCCACCCCCATACACGCACGTGTGCCCCACACACACGCACTCGGGCACACACGACCCTCCCAGCAGAGCTCACTGCAGGAGAAGCCCCAGGCAGGACCACGAGGTGGCCAAGAGCTGGCTCTGCTGTCGGCCTACTGCTCACAAGCTTTGTGACCCTGGCCACTGCCTTCAAGTCTCTGTGCCTCATTGCACTCAACAAGCCTGTATCGAGTGCCCGCTGTGTGCCATCCGCCCACTGGGGGCTGCGTCAGTGAGCGGGCGAGTTCCCCTGGCCTGTGGTGCTTCCTTCCGAGCAGGCACAGAGAATGAGGAGCGGCCCCAGCACACACAGGAAATAATCCACCGTGCTCACAGGTGATGCTTGTGGGGAGGAGAACAAGACACAGTGTGCGGGGGTGGAGAGCAAGGGCTGGGGCCATTTTAAACAGCAGCATCCGGGTAGGCCTTGCCAAGAAGGTGATGTCTGAGCAAGGAGTGGAGGGAGGGAGCCCTGCGGGTATCTGGGGAGGAGCATTCCAGGCATTGGGAACAGCCCGTGCAAAGGCCCTGGGGCTGGAGGGGGCCTCGGTGGTGAGCCTATCTTATGGCTGCTAGGAAGAGTAAACTAGCTAATATGTGGATGCTTCCAGCACAGAGGGAACACTCAAAATACTGCTGCTGTTACTACCACTAAGACTATTGTTACTCCCAAGGTCCAGGAGCATCAGGGCCTTCTGAGGCCAGGGCACAGGCACTGGGGCCTGAGCCGTCTCTGGCCCACACTGCCCATTGCAGATGAACTCCCCCTTCACGTGGCCGGCAATCCCAGCCCACACACTCTCCAGGCTGTCTTCTCACAAGACCGCCAGCCCCTGACACTGCTTTGTCAGATCGCCGAAACTGGCCCTGCACAGAGCCCAGCCTCAAAACACACGTGCACACACGTGCACGAACACGCGAACACACCATGCACACACGCACATGCTCAGACACACACACACAATGCACTGCAGACATGCATGTGCACACCAATCACGCACACATGCACGCACACGTATGCATGAACTGTGCACACACGTGTCCAGTGCACTACACACATGCACGCACACACCAATCATGCACACATGCACACACACATGTATGTATGAACATGCGCACACACGTGTCCAGTGCACTACACACATGCATGCCAAGTACGTATACTGACACACTGCACGCATGAACACACATACATGCCACACATATACACACGCCCACAGGCACACGTACTTGTATGCCTGGGTGCATAAGCATATACGTACACACATGATGCACTGCACCCAGACGCATGCATACACCCACGTACTTGCACACACGCACACACAATACACTGCACACGCACGTGCACACACACACACGGACGCATGAACACGAGTCCATGCACACACATGCATGCGCACACACACCTTCCCACCCCTTCAGAGCACCGCTTCCAAGCGCGCCCCTTCCCAGAATCCCTGTGCAAGCCGGCACTACCCACCCCGCTCTCCGCATATCCCCTCCTCCTCCCCCGTGTCTTTGCCCTCAGGTCCTCGAGTTCCCCTCCCTCATAACAAGCAAAGACACTGACTTCGTCACTAACATAGCTTGTGCTTAGAAACACTTTCCCCCGTCCTCATTCCTCACGGCAATCAAGGAAAAAAGATAGTTATACTCTTTCTGTTTTAAAGATGAGGGGCCTGAGGGGATGAAAGAGCAGATGCAGATGCGGGGCCTGAGGACACACCGCGAGCGCGGGTCAGGCTGGAAGGGAGCCTAACTGGTCCCATCCTGGCGCTCCAGGTCCCAGAGCTCCAGTCTCACCTGGATGACCCACGGGCATCTCATTCTCAAGTGCCACTCTGACCTCCAGATCTTCTTCCCCCGCCTGTTCCTCCCTGCTGTGTCCCCACCCAATGCTTCCCCACTGTTCCTGGCTAGGAATTTGGGGGTGGTCTAGAGTTTCCTTCCTCCATATCCACATCCTTTGCATCAGCAAGTCCAACAGCTCCACCCCCCCCACCCCAGGACCCTCCTCTTCCCTCCCTGCTGCAACTGGTGCCCAGACCAGGCCAGCGTCAGCTCCCTCTTGGATACCAGCAGTGGCCCCCTTCTTGTCCCCAACTTCCCCCTCTGAGCCCCGACGCCCTTCTGCTTTATAGCCCGAGTGACGTCAGCGTGGGTCACTCTTCTGCTGACAGCCCTCAGGTGGCCCTTCTGCTCTCAAGATAACACACAAATGCCGCCCAGGACGCCTGTCTACCCTCGCACCCAATTCCTGTCCAGGGCCTGCATGCAGTAGGTGCTCAGGAAAGGAGTGAAGCTCCAGATCCCTCCAGCACACAAGCTCCCGCCATTCGCCACGCGTGTAACACGCCAGCCCCCTCCTCCCGGCCTCCTCCCCCCGGCAAGCTCCACACCGCTCTGAGCAGCACTAGGTCCTTCCCCGGCCTGGCCGCGGGCAAAGATGCGCACAGAGACCAGCTCTTGTGCACTGGGCGCCAGGGCGGGCGGGCTCTGGGGCCATCGTGTCTCATGTGACAGAACGGTCCTGCAAGAGTAGGATGCCGGGCCGGGCCACCGCCCCGAGCTGACCTCCTGACCCACCCACCTCCCAAACCACCTGCCCGCTTCTCTGCCCTCTTTACTCTGCTCCATTCTCTCTCCTGTCTCCACGGACCCACTCCCATCCCGCCACGCCAGAGCAGCTGCTCAAGCCAAGGTCATGGTGACCTCCACCTTGCCCAGCCGGAAGGTCCGCCCTCCCAGCCTTCGACCCGGGGGCTGGGCACCCTGACAAAACTGCTGTCCCCCCATCTTTCTGCTGGCTTCCTGGACACCCACCCGCCCCACCTCCCAGGGGCTCTGCCTCCCACTCGTCAGGCCACTGGAGGGCCCGCATCTCCCCCGTTCTCCTCTTCTCCCAGCTACGCGCACAGATTCGCGAAGGTTTCCAACCTGGGAGCCGCGGCCCGGGGGCCAGGAATAGAACCGTGTTCCAGGGTCACTGGCTTTGTGACCCCACGAAGCTAATGTTGTGCCCTTTAACAAATACGTTATTAATTAACATGATAAGGATGTTATTCAGAGGAGTCCATCGGCCTCTCTGGCTCAGGAGAGGCTATGGGCCCTGGACAATGTCACCTGGCCCCACGGTGACCCACCTAGCATGGAACACCCAGCCCTGCCTGGCCCCTGGATGCCCGGCATGCGTGTTCAGCTGCCGGCCTGGTGTCTCAAACTCAACGGTCTGACACGAGCTGTCCCCTGCCACCCTCCCATCCCAGCCACAGCCCTGGCCTCCCAAGTGCTCTCAGGAAACCCTGAGCGTCCTGCCCGTGGAGCCCCACCCAGTGTCCCATCCTGCCAACCACGTCCTCCTGCACAGGCTCCCGTCTCACCAAGGAAAACCAAGCTGCTCCAAAGGTGGAAAGGTGGACAGCCAGACAGCCGGACAGCCGGACAGGCATGCAGGACGAGCCGGGCCCTCTCTGCTGGGATGCCAAGCACACGCCCACTTCCAGCCTTTGCCTGCCCTTCCCTCAGCCCCCAACACCATTCCCGACGCCCAAGGGGCTCCCCTGCACCTCCCAGAACCTTGAACATGGCCCCCGACCTCTGGGTGAACCCACAGCCGCGCCACCAGGGAGACCCCTGCATTGTTCCCCGAGATATTCTCATCACTCCCCCAACCCCGGAAGGCAGCTCCATGAGAGGGGCTTCTGTTGGTTTTCACATGGTGTCCCTGGAGCCTAGAACACGTCGCCGGGGCTCGGCCACTCTCTGCTGGATAACGGAAGTACACGGCCATACCACATTCAGTCCCTAAGTTTCACCTCCTGACCACGTCTCCAAAGAGCCCACTCAGCTCACTTTTTCTCCACACAGTCCGTGTCCTGAGCTCCTGCAAACCCTGGCCCCTTAGAATTGTCCTGCCTGCAAAAAACGAAGGATCCTCCCCCAGCCAGGAATTTAAGACTCTCTCCTCCTCCTGGGAGGAATCAGACCCATTGTTCATTCCTTCCTGCACCCATTCACTGCACCTCCCGGGTGCCAGGCGCCACGTGGGCCCCAGGGGCCAGTGGCCAGCACCCCAGGCTGCCTGCGCTCAGCACACCTGCGAGGACTTATCTCTGCGCACTAGGCCCCGTGATGGTATGCTCGGGGGGTGGGTGGCCGCCAGGGCTGCCTTGCAGAGAAGACCCTCTCCCACCTGCCTTCTGCCCAGAGAGCCACCCCCAGGTCCTCTCCGGGCCGGTTACTCACCTGGGGTGCCATCCCCGCCCCGGTCCTGGGTCAGGCTGGTGAGGCAGTTCTCAGGGCCACCAGCCATGCCGTCCCTCAGGCAGACGTCCCCACGGGGGACCAGGGGGCTGGAGGCAGGGTCACTGGCGTCCCCGCCGAGGCAGGCACAGGGGGTCTGCATGATGCCGCAGGGGTGCGAGCTGCGGCTGCCGGCCAGACAGGCGTCCAGCCAGCGGCACAGCATCTGGCAGGCGGCCCGGCTGGGGTTGCGGTTGCCCACGACCAGGTACTCCACGGAGAAGTCGTCGCCAGGGCCGGGGGGCCCGCCCGGCGGGCCGAGGTCAGTGTCCCAGGGCGGCTGCTGGCGCCGCATCTGCAGGAACTGCTTGCTGGCCTGCAGGAAGGCCAAGGGCGCCGAGGGGTCGCAGAGCCGCAGCACCTCGTCGAAGCTCTCCACGCCCAGGTAGGTGCGCGTGGACTCGAGGAAGGAGTCGAATTGGTAGGTGCGCACGTGGCCAGGGCCGCTGCAGGGCGTGGGCGCCTTGGCGACCTTCATGTAGAGCGTGTAGCGCCGCGGGTCCGGGTTGCGCAGGGTCCAGGAGCAGCGCGAGGCGTTGGCTGGGAACACGGCGGCCGCCGAGAAGTACCCAAAGAACTTGCCCTGCACCAGCGTGGCGCACGGCTCGGCCCCGGGCCCCACGTCTGCCCCCGAGGCCGCACGCGCCCCACGCCCCAGCAGCAGCAGCTGCAGCAGCAGCGGACCGAGGATCCAGAGAGGGCCCGGGGCAGCGGCCTGGCCCCTCATCCTAGCTCGCGGGGCCGCCGGGGTTCCGCGGGCTGGGCAGGCAGGCGCGAGCCAGGCCTTGACATGCCAGGGTCCGGCGGCGAGCGGGGCAGGGGCTCCGAGCGAGGGCAGGAGGTGGAGAGGGCTTCAGGTGACCGAGAGGGCAGCGGTGGCTCCTAACGTCCAGGGCCCTGAGGCCCGCCTGTGGCTGCCAGCAGCAGCTGGAAAAGAAAGAGCGGAAGGGGTCGACGCAGTGAGGCGCCCTGGGAAGTCTGAGACGCGGGCACGCTGGGGGCAGTGCCCCCCACCCTCCCCAGGCTTTGCTCCCAGGAATCTGCTCTGTCCGCCTGTCTGTCTGCCACCTGCCAGTGTGTCCACCTGCAGGGGCAGAGCAGCCAGAGCACGGGAGACCTCCTCCTCCACCCAGGCCTGAGCAGGGAGTGGTGGACAGCGCCAGGCCAGGGCGCGTGCCACAGGGGCCTCGGCTGTGCCTGTCTGGCCAGGCAGCCTGGCGTGGCTCCCGCAGTCTCTGGGCCTGTCTGCCCACTCACCCCGTCGTGGCCACAGTGGCCATTCGCCCCTCTGGGCTCTCTCTGACCCCCGGCAGGGTCTCCCAGGCTCCAGCTCCTTCCTCTCTGACCTTCCCCCTCCCCCACCGCCCGGACAGAAGGGAAGGGGGCAGGAGTAGTAGAAGAGGAAGGTCCTTCCAGTCCCCCCCATTATTCCAGCCACCCCCAGCCTCCAGGCAGTCCCACTCCCTAAGCCTCCACCAGGAGTGGGGGTGCAGAGGCCCCGCCCACCGTCTGCCTCTCATGGGTGCCTTGACGGGTGGGTGGGGGTAGACCCCAGGCCCGTGGCTGTGACTGACATCTGCCTGCCTCCTCTCTACCCCCAACCCCGCCTGTCACTGCAGCCTCTCAGGCCACCTCCTTCAGCTTCCTGCCCTCCCCTCGCCTCTACGCGGGTCCCACCGGCCCCTGGGCCCTGCAGCTCCAGGCAGGGAGGCCCGGGGGGATGGAGTCATCTAGAGCCGCCTGCGGCCAGGCTTCGGCCTGCCCTGACCCCTTGCCTCCCCCCTCCTTCTCAAGGCTGGCGCTGTTACCTCCATTGCACGACGAGGAAACCGAGGCTCAGAGGGGTAAGAGACTGACCCAGGTTACAGTGAAGGGGAGGGAGGACCCACACTTGACCCCCTCGGCCTGACCCCCACCTCATGTCACTGAGGTCACCTCACCTGCTCCAGGAGGGGGTGCTGGTTGTGCTGCCCACTCACACCTGGGGAGGGGACAGCCCCCGGCACGTGTGAGCAGGGACCCAGCCGAGCCGCCCCAGGCTTAGGAAGCTGGCGCTGCCCGTCACAGACTGGCCTCCACGTGGGCCCTGGCGAGTTCCTTCTGCCTCCAGACCTGATTCCCCACCGTCCCCAGGAGCCTGGCCGTGCGTCTGTCCCATGCAGCAGCTGAGCCGGTGGCGAGGGAGGGAGGGCCCCAGCCAGGCCCCCAGAGCCCGCCCGGTCTCCTGGTGCCGGTGCCTCAGCTCTGCTGACCGTGCACATGCCGGCCGCCTGCCCACGGGGACTCGCCGCTTCCTGCTGCCCGGGCCCAGCTGGCCAGCGACACAAGGTCAGTCACTGCTCTGCAGTCCCCTCCTGGCGTCCTTCCCGCGCGAGCCTCGTAGGCAGAGCTGGGAGCTGGGCGCAGGTGGCCTCGGGCTCTGGGCCGGCCTGAACCGAGAGGCCTGGATGCGGGCTGTCCCCTCACGGCTGTATGGCCTCGAGCAAGTCCCTCACCTCCCTGCCTCAGTTTCCCCGTCTGTAAAATGGGGGTGAAGCCTCACTCTCAGCAAGACGGTAAATGCTGAACCAGGGGTTCACCCAGAGGCGGGGAGGAGGTGACCCAGCTGGGAGGGGTGCTCTGGATCACCAGGGGCAGCGGCATCAAACCGGGCCCCCTGGGCACTTCAATGGCAAACGTTCAGGTCCCCTGAGAAGGGGACCTGCCAACCTCTCATCCTGGCGCCTCCAGGCAGAGCTGCGAAGACCTGCACTTGGCCCCTACCTCCTGGAAGACCCCTCAGGGGGCAGCCTTGGACGTGGGCACAGCAGAGCCACCTGCCCTGGCCAGCCACCCCCACATTACGGGGACAGAGAGGTGATGGCGAGGGTTCCGGAGCCAATGACAGATCTGGGGGGGCTGCCCGCCCCACCTCGCTGCACAGCTGAGAGTGTCTGGAAACCTCAGCTGAGCCCCAGCCCCGGCCGCAGCACCCCCTCCCTAGTCCCAGGCTGGGACCTGAGTAGCCGCCGGCCCCCCAGCTGGAGCCCCACCCACAGGACACCCTCCCTGATACCAGAGGGTCCCAGGGACTCAGCCCCATCCCCAGTGAATGTCGGCAGAGCCCAGCAGAAGCTCAGATCAAAGCCGGACGCCACCCTGACTCCCACCACGCAGCAATGCCCCACTCTGCCCCATACCCCACACATGGGCCGTTAGCCCTGACCCTGAGTCAAGGCCACCCCAAAATCCACCGCCTTCCCCCAGAGGGGCCTGCGCGCCCTGAGGTGGCCTAGGCTAGGGCCCATCTCATCCACAGGCTCTCTCCCATCCCAGCTTCCTGGCCCCTGGCTGCCCACTCCACAGTCTTCCCATGGAGGGGGCTGGTTCTGAGTGGCCTGGGGTCCAGAGGCAAGCGCAGGAGCTGTGTGCACAAGCACCAGCCACTGAGGGCCTGCGCCGGGCAGGGCGTCCTCCAGGACCTCAGTCATCTCATCTGGAAAGTGGGTACAGCCTGGAACAGACTCAGCCTCAGAAGCTGGGTGCTCATAAGCTGCCATGTGTGCTGGGGGCGAGGGGCTGGTGAGAGCGTGCTGCAGCGTCCACCACACTGCCGTGTGGATTTGGCAGGCACAGGATGGGGGCACCCTAGCATGGGCCCCAGCGCGGAGAGAAGACAGGGAGAGCCCCGTCCCAGGGCACAGGAGGGAGAAGCGGCATTGGCTGAGCTCGTCCTGGGCTGGGCACCTCGTTGTCACAGCAGCAACTCCAGGGCACCTGTTAACGGTTGCATTTTGCAGATGGGGACACTGGGGCCCACAGGTACCGGGGGCCTGAGCCAGGATTCAAGCCCTGGGCAGGTGGAACTGGACCTAATCTTGCCCCTGTCCTGCCGGCCGGGCCTCATCGCCCCCAGCTCACTCCACTCCCTGAGCGCTGTCGGCCCACATGCGGTGTCCACACAGCAGGCAGGAGGCGGCAGTGAGAGCCAGAAGCAGGACTGCGTCCCAGTTAGAACTGCCCGTTAGAAAGGCCGCCCTGGCAGCCCACATGGGACCCGGGGGCAGGGAAGCTGAGGGAGGCAGGGAGGGGCAGGGTTGGGGGGACAGAGGTGGGGGAGGACACTCAGGAGACAGAAGAGAGGCCCCAGCGGCCAGCTGGGCTGGGGGACATGGAGGGGACATTCCCGGCCTGGACACTGAGGAGGTGAGAGGGGCCAGCAGGGAGCGTGCGGTAAACGGCAGGTCAGGGCAAAGCCCAGAGTGCTTTGAGGCAACCACACCCCCGGGGACCAGGGCTCCAGAGTGAGCCTTCAACAGACTCCTGGGGCCAGAAGAAGGCCTAGAAACGCCCACCACTTGGTTCTCAAACAGGGTTCCCTGGAGTCCTGGGGTTCCACAGCAGGGAGCGCAAGGGTCACCAGGGAGCCACGGTGGGGAGGGGAGCTTCCAGGCACCCTGGCATCCTCTAGAACTCGAGCCACTCCACACCCTGGGCATTGGGGGAGGCTCTACCGGCCAGAAGGCTGTCCCAGCTGCAAGTCTGAGCACCACGGAACTGGCCCAGCCCTGCCCCTTCTGGCTGGGTCGCAAGGCAGAGCTGGGCAGGAGGCCCAGGCTATCAGCATGGGCAGTTGCTGCACCTGCCGGCGGCCACTTACCCCCCACTCGCCCACGTCCCAGCAGACCCACAAAGCCTTTCCAGCCCAGCAAGGCCTCCTTCATCCCCATTAACTACCTGCCTGACACCCTCCAACGAGGCCCTGGATGAATGGCTCAGAGGCCCCTCCGAGCCTTCTCGCACCAAGGCAGGCCCAGGCAGGTGGAGAGCTGGACGGGCCGGGAACACATCCGTGCCAGGCCCCAGGTCATACAGCCATAGCCAGGGCGGACAAGTCGAGGCCATCCCAGGTCTGGGTGATTGGAGCTGCGATGGGGTGGGGGCACGCAGGGGTGGTGTCCTGGAGTGGGCAGTGCCCGGGTGGAGCGGGGGCATCCTAGGACGAGTGGGGGCAGGGCCTGATCTTCACTGAGGGGGGTCCCTCTGACTGTGGGGGCGGGGCGGGCAGGGAGAGCCGGGAGGAGGCCTGTGTGGTGTCTGGGCCCGGAGGGCAGTCGGTGCAGAGGCAGGGTCAAGGAGACGACCAGAATTCCAGCTTGGGCAGGTGGGCGATGGGTGGTGGGGGCCCTTGCTAAGGTGAGAGGGAGCTGATATGTGCGCGCATGTGTGTGTGCGTGTGTGCAAGCACACATGTTGGTGTCCGCGCATGCGTGTCTGCATGCACGTGGGTGCACGTGTCTATATGTGCGCACCTATCTGTGTGTGTACACGTGTGTTTGTGCACACACGCATACATGTAGCACACTTGTACAAGGTTACATGGCAGGGGGAGAGCAGGGCTCAGCCTGTGCTCACTGGGATGTGTGGGGCAGTGGGACAGGGAGCAGGGCTAGGGGAGGAGGGCTTGCCTGGAGGGGGTCGTTTAGGGAGAGGCCAGTGGCCTGGCCAGAGGCCCCTGAAGCCCCTCAGCGGGGCCTCAGCAAAGGAGGAAGGCTGGTTCCACACCAGGCAGGCGCCCTCTGCCCCAGAACACCCTGGACTGGCTCACGGCCCCTCCCCTCACCACACCCAGTGCCCAGGCCTCCACTGGGGGTCCAAACTCTGCTGGCCGAGGTGAGGGGCTGGAAGAGGCTCACAGCCTCTGACCCCAGTGCTGGGGGTCCAGTGGCTGCTGGTCACTCCTCTTCATGGTGCTCGTGGTTGAATTACACGCCTCTCACAGGGTGACTGTCCCCTCCCCTGAACCACACGGCATTGTCTGGCCACGGTTTCCCCATCCCAGCCTGGTCATTGCACCTTTACCGTCCACTGCTCCCTTTGGGTTCCCAAGGACAATGACCAATCAGCACCCAAGCC